TGGCAACCTCCAATTAACCCCTTAAGTTTCTTGTCATGCCCCCCTTTACTGAGGATATGAGCCAACGGCAGCAGGAGCTTGGCAGTCTCAAGTCCTCAAAATTGGTAATAGGAATTTAGTGCTGACTTGATGATTCAGGCCCTCTGCCCCTCTGAAGCTAAATCTGGGAATCCTACTGTCCTTCCCGACCTCTGCTCTGCCCCTCCCTCCTGGTGTTTCTGGCCCTTCGGGCTGGTCTGTCTGTGCAGCACAGCAGGACAGCACCGCCCGCAGGGCTCAGCACACACACGGGACCTCAGGCACATCAATAACCACAGAGAAGCTCTGCCATCCCCCTCCCTCCTCACAGGGGCAGAGGGGGGTGGCTGAGAGTGCAAACGCCAGAGACAAACTGCTAGCATCCAAATCCTAAATCTGCCAATGACTCCACACATGCTAACTTTATTCTTATCAACACCATCCTTAAGAGGGAGATGAGATTATTACAAAGAGGGCAGGAAACCATCCAAAAGAGGGCTGGTGCAGGGTGATCCCACACATCTGTGTCAGGAGATGGTCTGGTGGGGGCCAAGGAGCTCTGTCTGGCAGAACTAGGTTTGGGTCATGGCTTACTGCCATTAGTTCCCTCATCTGTAAAGTGGCAACAAAATGTTCCCTACCTTCACATCCAGTGAGAGAACACACGTTAAGATGCTGCACCCAGGGCTCAAGGGAGAGCAACCACTACTGCTATCATTTTTAGTTCCCAAATACTACCGTCTGCAAAGTCAAAAGGTCTCTGTCAACAAGACCTGCATCTCTGAGCGGAGCCCTCCTAGGCCCGTGGTCGCTCAGCGGAGGCCAAGACACCAAGGGATGCTCTGGCCCTCCCGGCCGGAGAGGGGTCTAGGCGGGGCTGCGGACGGCCTCCCCTCCGGGCCGCGTGGCTAGCCCGCACCAGCGCTTCTAGCCTCCACGGGAGGCGACCAGACAGGGCAGCTGTGAAGGCCTGGTTCCAAGCCGGGGATCCGGAAGAGGGAGAGAGAAGGCTGCGCTCTCCCAGGACCCAGGGAAGCAGGGAGCGCTGGCCCGGGCTCTTTGATCCCCTGCTCCCCAATTCACCCACTCCCCTTTCAGGACTGAAATCACCCAACTGTCAGGACTCAAAGACCAAAGCCCTCAGCTCTCCTCTCCCTCCTTTTCTCTTCTTCTCTGAGACAATTTTCCATAGCAGGGATGTATGCCAAGGTGAGGAGAGGCCAGGGAAGGAAGCAGAGGAAGGGAGTGGAGAAAGGAAAGAGTCTCCAGTAGGAAATGTTTCTAGGAGCACGGCCCCACACGAGGTGGCTGGCCTGAAGGCTGAAGGGGAGGTAAGGGTGCGGAGACCGTCCCTTCGGTCGTCCTGAAGAGGCCCCCTCCCTGGATCCAGATCTCACCACCAGGTGGGGGGCTGCGGACTGGCCGCCCTTCTGGGTGGAAGAAACAGGGTCTGGCTAAAGCCACACTCTTCCTTCTACGTCTGTCCTCCCTGCTCACAGTAAGGTAGGAACACCAGACATTCCCAAGGCCCTGGCCCACAGAACACCACCGCCAGGCCCTCAGAATCTGAAGAAGTCTGTTGCGAGTTGCCAGCGGGAGTCTCAGGCAGCCTTCAGAAAGAGCCCTGTGAGGCGGCATCTGGAACCGATGGCAGACCACACAGGTGACTTAGCAGGCCTGACTCAGAAGCAGGACATGAACAGCAGGGAGGTGGAATACAGGACCCGGGGAGGAAAGAAAGAACCTTCTATCTAGCAGGCCCTTCAACCTGGGAACTCCAAACTCAGCCTGAGGCGTGTTGCCAGATTCACCCGGAAGACAGCCTCCACCCCAGAGGCCCAGCGGTGACTCAGGTAGGCAGGGCCCCTTCCCTAACACTGGGGGCTCCTACCAACAGTTCTCGCCCAGCAAAGCTCACACTGTGGGGCTCTGCATTCAGGCCCGGCCTCAAGTGTCCTGAGACTTCCCCGGGGCTGGGAGGGGTGATAGGCAGGTACACCCGCCAGAGGGAAAGTAAATCCAGGCACTGTGGGGGAAAAAAGGGTCCCTTGGGCGCCAGCCCGGCACACCTGCCCCAGATCCCAGTCTCCCCTCACTGGAACACCGGAACACCCTCCCTGGGCCTCCACCTGTCACCTGCCCCCTCCTCTCAGTCGGGTGCGCCTGCTGACTCAACCTATGTGGCCTCTCCTCCTTTCCCAGCCAGTGCCTCTTTCCACGGATTTTCCTACCTGTGCTACCGCCTGGCTCCATTTAGCAATTCTTTAAAGATCCTGTGTCTGGGATGGGAGGGAGGAGAGAGGAAGGGGGCAATCCCACAGCAGAAAAGGGGAAAACATACCCGGCTGGAGAAAGGGACAAGGACTACCAGCAACTTCCATTCAGCAGAGCCCACAGCAGAACCTGTCAGGCAGCGAGGGCAAAGTACAGAGGCCGGGAAGAGCCAGGCCCAGGGCGGGGGCTGCCGGCTCTGCCAGCCACCCTTACTCAGCCGAAGCAGGCGACACCTTCCACCACCTCCTCAGTGAAAAACAGTGAAGCAGCCAGGCCCCAGCGGCTCCTGCCTGGGAACCTGGACTGTGTCGCAACCGAAACCACCACTAGCAGAGAGAGACCCGGCTTGGCAAGGAGAGCAACAGGGACGAAAAGCCCCGCCGCTTCCCGCAGGCCAGGGCCTGGTGGCCAGAAAATGCATGGAGTCCCAGGACAGGACACCGACACCCGGGAGCAAGGTGGGAGGAGAGGGGGCAGGCAGGCGACGGAGGGAAGGGAGACAGAGAGGGGGCGGGTTTAGATCAACTTCCTTCTCCCTCCCCCTCCCCCTCCCCGGAAGTGGGCTGCCCCACCCTCCCCAAGGTGCTTTGCTGGGTAACAGCTGGGAGAGGGTGAGGAGGCTCCCTCCAGTCAGGGCTGTCATAAAGTCCTTATCTCACCTGCAGCAGGTGGGACCTGGGTAGGGGCTCCCACTAGCCGGGAGGAGTATGTGTGAATCAGGCCGGCTGACCCGCAGAGCAGCCTTGCCAAAGCCCAGTAAACCACCCATGGGAGAACAAGACGGGGGTTAAGCAGAAACCAGTCATGCAACAGTGGCAGATGGACCTCCTGCTTCACGAAAAGCAGTGTTTAACTTAGAAAACTGCATATTCCACTTACATGCAAAATATTCTGGACATAATTTCAGGGAGTTCAGGGACCCTGTGAAGCCCCTTTAGATGTCGATGAGTTCTAGACTAAAAACCTTTGTCACTGACTGAATAAGACATTTAATCCTAAGTCTCACTCCAAAGATGGGGAACCAACCAACTGTCCCTAAGTCCCTTCCGGCCCCGATTCTGGGAGTCCATCCCTAGTTTCCTACCCAGCCTCTGACAAGTCCCCGCCAGCACACCCTCCAACAGCACTGCTTTAAGAACTCTGAGGGCCGGGGACAACAGGGATGCTGGTCTTCACACCTTCCTACTACAGAGCTCTCCTGTCTGGGCATCTGCTAACTTGGGGTGACTGGAGCCCTCCCTTGTCTGAGTTCTGCGTTCCGGTCACGCCTTCCTTCTGGCTCCCAGAACAACTTCGAATTCGTCCCATATCTCTAGGCTAGGACCTTTCCCACTAAGCAGCTCTTGAAAGATCTCCTGCCAGTAGGCCATAAAACCCCCTAGGGAAGGGCAAAGCCTCCTCTGTGCCCTCCGAGCACCTGAGCACAGATCCCAGAAGGACCATGCCACTCAGTGTTTGCCTTACACAGGAGCCCAGATCAACACATTCGACGTTCCTGACACTATCTTCTACTGCCACATACTCCCTATGTCCTCCACACCCACATGTTGCATCCTCACGTTAAAGATGAGAAATTAAAGCACAGAAGTTATGAGACTTGCCCAAGGTCCCACAGCCCCCCAGCACAGAGCTGGGACTGGAGCCCAGGCCTTTGGTGCCCAGGTCAGCACCCTGCTGTTCCTCACGGCCCTCTTTGCTGGTTTCCCCCAAAAGAAGTTAAGGAAGCGGAGAGGCGGGGGGGGGGGGGGGGGAGATACCCAGGGCAACAGGAATGCCAGTGTCCGGCTCAGACCAGTGCACAGGGCTGTTGCAAGGACATACCCATCGGGTCCCACAACACACCCTGCTCCTCTCACCCTTCTCCAAAGTGGGCCCCGATCTCAGTGCAAGAGCTTAGGGTTTATTCTGGACCCTGGGCTCAGTCTTGCCTGCGACCACCTGCCCCTTCACTCAGAGGTCAGAGTAGGATCAAACGGCTTTATTCTTCCAGTCCCTAGGGTTCTGCAATGCGACAGAGGACTGTTTCCTCAATCCTGTTGGTGGGAAGCAGTAAGGGGTTTTGTAAACTGAGGAAGTACCGAGCACTGACCTCAAACAGAGAGGCTGGGGAGAAATGGGTATGACTGAGCTGACAAGTCACGGGGCCGTGGCGAATGGCTAGTTCTTTAACCCCTCCTCCTTCACCGCATCCAGAAACCCTCTTTGCACCCTTTAATCCTGAGCAACTGTCAATCTCAACTGCCAAGAGTCAAGAAACCCGAGGGGAATTGTGGGTAGGAGAGATCTCATAAGGCTGCAGGAAGCACTGACCAGTGGAGAGGTCGGGTACCACTCCCCACCCCCAAAATTAACTGTGATGGCTCCGCCCAGGGGGAGCCTCACTTTCCCTTAACAGCCTGGTGCAGGAGGGAGGTGGGGCTGTGTCGGAGTGTCAGAGGGTTGCTCCCTCCTTCTAGCAGCGGCAGGTGTCCCCCCTGATGGAGGGGACCTGCAAAGCCAGCAAATGAAGCCCAAAGCCCAAAGCACGGTGGGTCACTGCCTGCTCGCTCTCTGAGCTGCAAGCCTCACCCTAGCACTGCAGCCTGAGCCCAGGGGGGAGCAGCCTGTAGGCCTCCAAGCAGCCACGGCAGGAGCGAGCACATGCCTGGGAGGACCAGCAGGCAAGAACCGAACTGAACGGACGCGGCACCTCCAGCTCGCACCAGGGCATGCATGGACGCCACGGTACAGTGCTCCTCCCCCAAATCTCCTGCCTTCGAAGCCACTGGAAATGCCGGGCTCTTCCTCAAACGGGGCGGATTCTACGGAGCAGCCAGAGCCTTGCCAGCTTCCAGTCCCACTTCGTCCCTGAGAATCCGCTCGCTGGGGTCTGGTCTCTATCTCAATCCCCAATTACTGTTGCTAATTCAGTAAACCTTTGTTGCGGGCCTACCTCCGGAGCCAGGGCTAGTTACAAAGTTCAGAGAGATCTGGTTCCTGCCTTCCAGAAACAGAGGAGGGAACTGAGTGTTACATTAGACTCACCGCCGTATCTCTGCTCACTTGGTAAGGGAGGCAGGATAGCATGACAGAGCTCTGGAGGCTGAGGGGCCTGGGGCGGCAGGCTTGCCTTTGCTCCTTACTAGTTCACTGAGCACGACCGAGATTCCTTGACTTTGTTAGATCCCCGTTTCCTCACTGAGGACATGTGGACAGCAGCTGTCCCCACTTCACAAGATCGGCACGAAGACAAAATGAAAAATGCACACCAGGGTGAACCGCAGGGCCCAGCGCGCGGTAAGTCTGGACGATGTTTCCTATGATCTTGCTTCTCTTTCGGATAGGAACCTGCTTCCCATCTCAAGGGGTCCTCTGAGCCCAGAAGAGCTATCATCTCTAAGAACTTGACCAAAAGCACCAGTGGAGTAAAGCTGGTATTGCTTCTGGAACATGGAGAAGTCCAATGTCCACCATGGCTGGGCTGTCAGGCAAAAAGGACCTTCTTTCCTAACCTAAAACCGCTCTCACCAAGAGAAGTGGGTGAATGAGAAGGTAGCCACGCCTCTGGCCTCTAAGTAGCCCAGAGGAGGAGGAAGGTGTGCCTGCTTTTCCTTTCCTCATGGGCTTCTTAACTCCTTCCTCCCAGAAGAGGCCCAAGAAACAGCCGACATACCAGTACCACACGGTGCCAAGGGCTGGGGGAAGCTCACACTGCCAGCCTCGCGCTCCACTCGGCGCCGCCCGTACCAGTGGGTTACTGTAACCATGGAGACCAACAAGTTCCTCCATATCACAGGAGAGAGTCCGCCTGCCAGCAGCCCAGGGCTCTGGGGGAGGCAGAAGGCAGCCTGCAGCAGAAAGGTTTGGCTCACTCCACAGAGGATTGTGGGGGGCTGATAGATGGGAGTCTAACCAGTGCAGCTGAGGTGCCTGGGCCTCCCTCTTCCCTCCTTTGTAGCTTACGTTTTTATTCAGCATTGTCTGGCTGTACATGGTGGAGCAAAGGGCTGGAGTCCCAGGTCTGCAGTGGGACCCTAGTTCCGCCACTCTGGCTGCCAGGGAGGAAACGGCTTGGAAGTGTGGTACGAAGAGTCACACAGACCCACATGCACTAAAAGCAAGGCTCCCGCTCTCATGTAACATCTTCTTTTAAGGGATCCAGGTCAGTAAACACTCTTATCCCTAGTTTATCCCAAATCCTTTTGTTCGAGGAATTATCCAGACACCTTCTGAGCAGAGTGCGATCTGTCCCTTCTCTGGCTCTCACGGCACCCTGTTACCCATTCATCTCTTCTGACCCTGTGTCGCCACACCTTAGCCTCGTCGAGCTCTGAGAGGTCAGATGCGGTGTCTTGCTCACCCTCATATGCCCTTAGTGCCTAACACTCAGTACCTGCACCTGGCTGGCCCGTGGTAAAATACTTGAGGAATAAAGATGATACAAGTTTTTGATCCTTACAGTCCCCCCACCCCTGGAAGGCAAGACAAGGGCAGAAGAAAGATCAAAACCTTTTGCCACAAGACCCCTTTCTCCTCTTTCAAGGTAGTTGTTGGTTCCCCGTGCGGCCTTCCCACAACACAGTGCTTTCGGGAGGGACCCAGGTCTGATTCACTGCCACAACAATGCCTCTACCGCAGAGCAGGGATCGGCAATCAGTACTGAATGCATAAATGGGTATGGAGGAATAAATAAGAAAACATGTAGGGTCATCTTAATGACAGTCTCTGGGCCCTGCATCAGTAACCCGCATCTCTGTCCTCTGCAGACACAGCTGAGCGGGCAGGAAGCCACAAGATCCCCTCGCCCAAGGAGGGAGAGCATCTAGAAAGCATTAGTTCCACGAACTAACTTCCTCAGGTGGTGACAAGGCCCTTGGTGCTCTCTATTGACACAATGCTGGTGGCAAATGTCATCAAGAGGTGGACTGGAGACAGACTGAGAACACAGGCACAGCCAGGGATTGGGGGGGGATCCACGCCCCACACTCCCGTCCCTGACCCCCCTCAAACAAGCCCAAGGCCCCTCCTTTCATCATGGCGGTGGGGGGCTCTGCACTTCCTGACGGCCAACCACCACTGGGCCCGACTTGAGGCGGCTCTCTGCCTCTTCACAGTCATCTCACACCTGCTTTGCTATCCAAAACCACTGTGTCTTGGTGGGACGGGCCATTCTAAGAGCTACTGATTTGGGGAAGTGACAGTGAATTACTTGTAGGAGACATTTATTCTCTGGCACACTGAGAGCTCGGCTTTCGTATTTCCTCCCTGAACCGATGTAATGACTGTAAGGCCCTGTCACCCCTGGAACACCAATAAATTCACCCATACACACCTTCCTCCTGTCCTGCTGCAAAAATTGGCACTCCCACCCTGCCCCCCAGCCTGCCTCCTGTTACAGAAAAGCAAAGGAACTAAAAACGGCAGCTGGGGAGCTCAGTTGACTCACCCAGCATAATCATCTCCTCCCAGAATCTCCCATCTTCTCCTGGGGTTTTTGCCAACACAAAGTAAAAAAGAAGCACGAGATCTTAAAAAAAAAAACAAAACACACACACACACACACACAAACCCCCCCCCCCCACAAAAAACCTCTCTCAGCGTTTATGCAACAGCCTCTCTACCTGAGTTCAGATTTAACCCCTTGTATTTGCCCCTTCCAAAGTGGTTTCCTTAGAGCGACTTCACGCCGAGGAGCAGCTCCAGCTCCAGGCTGGGAAACAGGCCTTCTGGGTCCTATCCAGTTCCAGCTCCGCACTGGAAGGTGCTGAATAAGACATGTGCCTCCTTCCACTGCACCTTCCTCTGGAAGTGGAAAAAAGACTGCCTCCCTAGTCCTCCAGCCTCAAAGAGGGTGCTGAAGGAGGAGAAGGAAATATCGGGAAAAACACTGGGACAGCACTTGCCTCAGGAGTCCCCACTGCCAGAGGCTGGAGCTCGAGCTGGGGAATAAGGAGGAGAAACCACCTAAGGTCATCACTGCCATGTCACCTCAGGATGGCCCCACCTGGTGGGGCTGCAGTGAGGCTGCTCCGCTTTCGTGACCATTAAAAATCCAAATGGCCGTGCTCGGCCTCAGCAAACCCCCAAGGGGCTGCTCCACTCACAGGTGGAAGCGTCCTCTTCCTCCTACAGCCTAAGCCGAGTGGGTGACAGCACCTGAGTGGTGGGACTGGTCGGGGAGGGGGCGTGGGGGCTGTTTCCAGCGCCTCCTGACAAAGAGCCCAATCAGCTAAAATTGAGAATTTGGTCTCCCCCATCCCTTAGAGCGATGGTGGGAGTGAGTATAGCTCTCAGATGACCTTTCTGGGTGTGAAGTGGTACCTCTGTATGTTTCTGTTTTTTGTTTTTTTTTTTAAAGTAGGGATGATTTTAAGATTTATTTATTTATTTATTTGACAGAGATCACAAATAGGCAGAGAGGCAGGCAGAGAGAGAGAGGAGGAAGCAGGCTCCCTGCCAAGCAGAGAGCCCAATGCGGGGCTTGATCCCAGAACCCTGGATCATGACCCGAACCAAAGGCAGAGGCTTTAACCCACTGAGCCACCCACGCGCCCCTGTATGTTTCTGTTTGTCTTTGTCATTTGGCATGCAGAAGGCCAACTTACTTTTGGTAAGAGATGCTAGGACTACAGACTAATGAGAACAATTAAAGCATATACAAATAGGCTGGGGGCACATTGGTCAAGAAATCCCCAACTTCCCGAGTTCCATTCGGAGAAGAACAAATGGTGACTGTCTCAGGTCAGCTCTCAAGGGCCCGCCATTGAACTTGAAGTGGTATGTCAACCATACCGAAGATTTAAACCACAGCCCAGAACGGGAAAGCTAACTCAAGAGTTCTGCCTTGGGTCCTAGGAACACGTCTTTGCTCCCTAAGCAGCACGGGTAGCAGTAACTGAGTCTCTACAGCCTTCCAACGTTCGTTGAGGGCTTAGAACAAAAGGACCTGAGTTGGGGGACAGGGCTTCAAAGCATTTGGGGTGTTCTGGTAGGAGGCAGGGTGTGAGAAGAAATGAACCCAGGCAGAGGTGAGAAATGAGGCTGGAGTTTCGAAAGGAATTATGAGTAGGTACTGCCTTCCAGGAAAGAAGGGCTAATCATGGAAGACCTCTCTGGCTTTCTCTCTTCCAGCTAGAGAGAGAAGAAAAGGGAGCCTGAGACTGTCCCCTGATGTATCAGGGGCATATGCTCCTTAGAATGGTCTCCCTGCTTGGCACCTGAAGCCTGGGATGTGCTTCCTATCTACCTCACTGGGCCCACTGTGGCCTCAACCCTGGACTGAGGATGGAGACTTGCTGGACCCTGTTACTAAGTGGCCACGACCTGGGCAGGTGCCTTTGCTAGCTGGCCAGATATTTGGAAGATGGCTCATTCGTTAGAAGTTAGGCGGGAAAGACTGGAAAGCTTCTCAGTGAGACTGTGCATATGTCAGCTTCTGCTTGTAGGCCTCAGTGTCCCCTAAAGCCAAACCCTGGTCATTTTCTGGTGGCAATGGCCACTCTACTCAGGGCATCCTAGTTGTTCATGCAGTTGACCTAGGGAGCAGAAGGGATGGTACATGAGAAGACAGCCATTATCCATTAGAAGTGCTTTCTTAACAAGCACTTTTAACAGTTAATTCATCTTTTCAAAGAAAGTCCTAGGAAGAAAGTCTTTTTTTTTTTTTTTTAAGATTTATTTATTTGAGAGAGCACAAGTGGGAGGAGCAGAGGGAGAGGCAATCTCAAGCAGGCTCCACACTGAGCGCAGAGCCCAACTAGGGGCTTGATCTCAGGACCCTGAGTCTCGACATGAGCCGAAACCAAGAGTCAGACACTCAACCGACTTAGCCACCCAGGTGTCCCTGTGAGTTGGAGTTTTCTGACCTCTGAAATGGACCTGGGAGCAGGGGTCTTTGGTACAGACTGGCTCAGTGCTGGTGGAAGCCCTCTGGAACGACAACACCGTCTGACAGGGGAGCTGGGGAAGGAGGGGGCCACTGTCAGGCACTGTTAAATGCACTATTATGCAGGCTGCAGACAGCAGAATGCTGGTTATTTTGAAGGAGGCAAGCAGCCTAGTCTCTAGCTCATCACCTCCGAATTCACCTAGAGAGTGCAAGGAGAAAGGGTGCCTACAGAGGCAAACAGACCCTCCCCAACACATCCCAAAGGGCAGCTCTAATTACCAACAGGCTTGGTGGCTTAAATATCTCAAGACTGAGAGGAAAAAAACCCACCCAGGATAACTCTGATCAGAAGAATCTAGCTGGGTCGCAGGAGGCCACTACTACCCATTGTACTGTTCTACCCAGTCCAAGCAACCACCACAAAAACCCCAGAGGCACAGAAGGAACTAAGATCCCTGAGGTGCATCTTTTCAAACTGGCCTGGGAGAGTTCCAGAGATGAAGACCAGGTTCTGCTCATCTCTTGGCACAGCTTGGACTTGGACTTGGGTTTCTGGTAGAGCCAGCAAAGGCTCCAGCACCTCAACTGTTTTATCCCTTCCAGAAAAGACCACTCTACCCTGCCCTAATTGAAAACATATTAAACCTACACATCCTACCCTAGGAAAATCCAGAGTGCACCCCACAGCTCCCATGATACACAACGTCGGCAATATTTTCTAGATACACGGACCTGGAAGCTTGCAAATCAACAGTCACAACGGGACATGTGCCTAGTCATTAAGAAACGGACACACACAGCTCACACACCGTGTGGCTAGAGTCCCTGGCGCGTCCTGAAGAGTACTGCCTCTTCAGTTGTGAGACAGGGAAGCCGGCGGCATGCGGGGAACGGGGGGTAGGGTGGTGATGGAAACTGAGCGGCACTCCGAGCTCCGGGGCGGCTCCGGCTCTGAGACTCAGCAGCCTTCCTCGGCAGCCGGGCTCCCGCCACCAGCTGTCCGTCACACAACACAACAAGATCACTGTTTGGGAAGATGGGATTTTTGGTGTTAGGTTTTGTATTCATGAACTAGCAGGCATCTGTCTCAGGGGCAGTTTCCCGAAACAGCTGCAGGTCCTGGGACCCGAAGCCAGGATTTGAGATAGAGGAGAAAGAGAAATGAGTCACCAGAAGTAGGAATTCAGGAAGAGTAAAAGCAGGAGGAATGAAACTGCTTTCCTTCTCGCCCCTGTCCCCCAGGAGCGGACTTTCCCCGCCTAGTCCCCACTAAGGAGTCACATATACCCACACTTAACAGCAGTCCCTGTTTATTCATGGGAGATATTCTCCAGGACCCCTTCAGCGGATGTCTGAAGCCACAGATGGTACCAAATCCCG